TTAAATATTAAAATTTGAAAGAAATGAGGCCAAACGGGGGCCAAGTGACACGACCCATCCTGAATCACCCTAATGGATTCGATACGTGTCTGCGTCCATGATAGATACCAGCTCAGTGTTGGACACACCATCAACGCAACTTTGATTGTGACATATTTTTAAAATAATTTTGAGAGAATTCTTTTTGAAATATAGACTAAAACCACTTAAACAATAATCAATCCGTACATATAATTTAAAATAGGGTACACTGGCCCCTCGAAATATAACTATTCAAAATAAAATATATTGGAATCAAATTTAAGTTCATTTACAAGTCAAAAGACTCTAAGGCCTTGTTTGATGGGGGTTGAATTTCATGTCCTATTTTTTTAAAACTTTTTTTGTGTTTGATTGCATTTCTTTTAAATGGAATTCATTTTCTTTGTTTTCCTCACACATGCGCCATTTCCTTATTTTGGTGGAAAATCAATTTTCACCTTTTTTTATTTTTTTGGGCAATGGGAACAAATTTTAGGAAAAATTGTAAAAGAAAATATCTCTTAAATTGACAATTTTTATGTAAAATAAAATCAAACAAAAACCAAAATATAGATGATTTTGGGATCTTTTCTTTTTTTTTCTTTTTTGCAATGGAAACAAATTTTAGGAACAATTGTAGAAGTGAATATCTCTAAAATTGACAATTTTCATGAAAAATAAAATCAAACGAACACTAAAAGACACTTTTATTTTAACATTTTTCATGTGAAAAATTAACAAATCAATAAAACTACTAATTGGCAATTCTCATTAAAACAAATTCTAGACAATTCAATTCCTTTCAATTCGTTTTCTTTCCACCCAAATTTCATCTTTGTAATCAAACAGACTCTAAATGCACAACATTTACATAAATGTAACAATCCCATGATATGGATATATTTTTTGACAAGAGAAATATATATTCCAATATATGAACTATATAACCTAACAAAACAAGTTATACAGCTAATGATAATGTATGGCTCAATTTGGTAGATCAACAGACTCCAACGCTACTCAACTCAGCTACTGTCTGACAAGAAAATGGATGACAAAATATATAAACTTGTAACTCAGTAAGTGGATATTTTACAAATAAGTATACTTTTTCTATTTTATACATTTTTTTTTAAATACTTATGCTATTAAAAATTTAAGGAAGTCTAAAATCTAATAATACTATTAAGATTAAAATATTTTGGAATCGTAAAATTCTTTACTATTCATTCTGAATAAATCACTGTAAGGTATAACAATTGTAATAAATCCGACATCCATAATATAAGGAAAAATATCATTTTACAGTACTATAGGCTGAAATATTTATTCTCTAAATTAAATAAGCTAAATTTTGTAATCTGATAAGTTGTATAATACTGAAAAATCACATAAAAAAGGTACCCGAAATAATCATACTCATGTATCGATTAATCACAATGTACATGACAAAGTTATTTAATTCTGAAATTATGTAGTTCTGAGATTTTGAAATTATGGTCATATGCGCGCAAAGCTGCCCAAATGCTATAATCTGATCCAACACTATGGAAGTATATTCACAATAGTGCAAACACAAGTAAAATCATCATAATTGGTCATACACTGTGGAAACACATTCACACCAATGCAGAGTTGGTAAAATAACTATATGTGATCATATACTGTGGAAACGCATTCACACCAGTGCAGACTAAGGTAAAATCGTCTGAAAACTTTCTGGTGCTTTTAAAAATAACTTTAAATAAACTAAAATATGTAATGCGAATATAACATGCTAAAAATTTGATTTAATTGTTCTGAATTTAACTTAAAAAGAACTGACAATAAGATCCATTTATTTTGAAAATCATGTTGTCAAAACAACTATATAAAATAATTAACTTTCTAATATAATATAAATTTAATAAATACTTATTTCTGAAAAATAAGCTTTTTCACTCACCAAATTGTAAATTGATTGTGACTTCAATCTTCTCGTCACCTCTTCACATTTAAATACCAAGTATGACATTTTTCACTCGTCCCAATAAATCATATCTCATCACTAAGATGCTTTAAACATTTTTCCTATAATTAGAAATGATAATTTACCAATAAGAACCCGAAGTCTTTTATTTTCAATGTAATGTCATAATCCCAATTAGGGTCACTAACAACATATCCACATTTATATAAGTTATTTTAACACATAATCCCCAAAATTTCATAGTTTAAATTGGTATAAAACAAGAGAATCAAAAGATTACCAAAAACAACACCATATTTCCAGACTATTGGCACCATTTTCTCTATATTGACAAGTGTCACCCAATGACAAAAATATCACCTTCTGGGCAAAATTTCGAAAGTAGCACCAATGCATTACCTTGCTCGAAAATAGCCTAAATTTTTTTAAATAATAGAGAAATTAAACCTCAAATCCTTAATCAAGTAATTGATATCATGTAACTACAACAATTTTAAAGATTGAAGCTATAATTTACAAACTCATTTCATATTCATTGATTTCAACAAGAATCTTCCAATAGACATTTCCTTTTGCAATAATGTTTTTAAATACCTCAAATACATCTTAACAACCTTTGATTTTTGCCACCATAGGAAATTGTTCACAATCTCTAAAATCAAATATCATCTGCTAATAAATAAATATTTTCCTTACCTTCAAGAAGATATTGGAGAACAAAGAACCCAAACTTGAAAACTTGCTTTCCTCTTTCTTTTCATCTTCTTTTCTTTTTCTTCCTTTCTTTCCCAGTTTTTCTTTCTTTCTCTCTGCCCGCTTCTGCCCTCAGTTTCCTCCCAGTGTATATGTTCATGAAAAATGAAAACAACCATGCTACATTGACAGGGAAAGTTGACAGAGTTTAGTGACCAACAACACTTGTCATTCATTCATTGGAAGATTGAATTTTTTTTATTAAAAAAAAAAATAGACAGATCAGAATCTACCATATCATCCCTGTCAATTTTTCTTGTTCCATTTCCTCACTGAGTAGATTAATTCAAAATGAAAAGAATGGTTAAACATGTGTCACTTGTATACCACTTGCGAATAATTCCAAAGGAAGCCCTCCAATTTCATATAAAACCACATTAAATCCTTAAATTCCAAATTAGAAAAATAAATCCAAACTTTAAATTTTATCCATCTTAAACCCTCAAAATATTTTTCATAATAAAATGAGCCCCAATAGAATGATTTACTTCAATTTGTCCATATTTGACTTTGACTTTGATTTTGACAAGTCAACTTTTGATTTGATTTTTTTATTTTTATTTTTATTTTTATTTTTATTTTTTAACTGATTAGGATGAATTGTAACATTAAGCACCTGTTTGATTCCCTTTAATTGGAGAGAAAATGAGTCTTGAATAGTATTCTTAATATATGTCTAATAGATATAGTTATAACTTTTTAATATGGTGTTTAACAATGATACGTAAATATCTTTAAAGCATGTAATTTAAATTTTCAGAGAACTTATTGGATCAATGTATATAGACTGCAAACTGCACACGTGATATGATTACATTTGTAAATATTTGGTTAAAAAATGGTACAAGAATATTTTTTTTTTTTGTGGGATATGAATTTCAATCATTGATGTTTATCAGTGTCGACGAGTCGAGCCACTTGTGAACTGAAATTCTAGGCTTGGGTTCGGTTCGAGTAAAATGATCCGAGCTTTTGCTCGACCAAAAAATAAGACTTGCTCCCAACTTTCGGCTCAATCCTTATCAAGCCAAATCAGATAAGCTCAATTATTATTATTATTATAAATAATATATAGGCAACAAGTTACTGCCTTTATTATTATTATTATTAATTTTTTATAAATATAAAGGCTCGCGAGCCGAGTCACACAGACTTGGCCCGAGTTCTATCGAACCGACGAGCCCGATTGCAATACCTACCGTTTATGTTAATAACTCTAAAAATTATTGAAACTCATGAAGAGGTATCAAACTACTTAGAATTGTTGTTTCATTGCTTTTGTATAGAAAATGTCCTACGACAGCAACTATGCAATGTATCCATTTTTCCTTTGTTGAAATTTTGTCCCATTTAAATTTTCTTACAACGTTTTTAATAAGGTAACTATCATTGCATACCTGAAAGAATAATGTACATTTTTATTAATTATAATTTTTTCGAGACTTTTCTATTAAGGTTATAACGAGGCATATGGAGCGTCATAATATAATAATTGCTGGATGTCCAAACCCTAACGTTAATTTCATTAGTTAGAAATATATGTTACAAATATTATTTAGAAAATTTTGCACTTTCAATCTCCAACTTTTGTACTTTTTTACTAATTATCTTTAATTTTGTATAGAATCAAACATCCTTAATCTTCATCATTTTAAGTAGATTTAATGGCAAAAAGTGGATGGAAAGACGAATTTTGTAATTAAACCAAAAGGACAATGATGCCTGACCTAAAAAATATAATAATAATAATAAAAAAATAATAATAATAAGGATGATTGACCGTGGATTAGTAACAAATTGTAAAGATTAAGGGCCGGTTTGAGCTCCATTATTATCCAAAAAAGCATATCCTTCAAACGCAGGTCTAAGTTTGGAGGATTCGACGATAACCAGATACCAGAAGGGAAATTCTTCTCTCTGAAACGAGAGCTCTGCAATGATTTTTGTTTTTTAATTATATATTTATGATTAATTTGTAATTTTTTGAAAATTTGGGATTATTGTTGCAATTAGCTATTTATCTTTTCTCTTTTTATGTTGTTTTATTTGAATAAGAGGATAAAATCGTCTTTTTATTCAAAAATTGGACGAATATAATCTCTTGCACTATAAAATATGAAAATAAAGGTGAAAATGTTAAAAAATAAAAAGTATGAATATTATGCACAATATCATCAAAAAGATAAAAATGTTTTGTACTATTGACTGTAAAATTATTTTTAAGGACAAATGGACAACCAAACGCGATCTACACGGTTCAATAATCTATATATAACCGGTTTGTTGAAATGGTCCTCTGCGTAGAACTTGAGACAATACATACATAGAGAGCTGGAAAAAGAGAGTGGCAGCGTAAATTTCCAGAAATGGATCTGAACCCTGTAAGTTTCAGCATTCATTGCTTTCTCCACTGATACTCACGGAACAGATTTTCAAGATAAAATTCATAGTACAATGGTTTCTTTATATCTACCAGCATGTTAAAACTCATCAATCATTATAATCACTTTGAAACGTAGTATAGAATGTCATTTACTTGGGTTCATGTCGTAGATCTGTTATTTGAATCAATTTTTAGATATTAAATCTAATTTCTGGACGCGAATAGTTCTTGGGTACTTCATATTCTTAGGTTTCGAATTCAGAATTAATAAAAGGTTGGAGTTATTGGGTTCATGGCTAAGAATTCCGATTTGTGAAGATATGAAGTTGCTGAGATTCTGATGCGCAAATTTTCTCCTATTATGGTATTTGAATAGTGGGATTGGAAGACATTTGAGTGAATATCTGTTTAAGCAATTAGATTCGAGGTGATTTTAATGCTTACTAGGAGAAAATCTCGTGCTTCATATACCTGTGTATTTGTTCAGAAGATCAAGACTTTTTCCCTCCATTTATTTCTTATTCTTGGGGTGATATGGGGGTAAAAATAATGACATGGTGTGGGTTCACAATCTCGATAAGTACTTTGGTTCAATGGACTTAGCCATAAATTTATTTTTTGGGATCATTCGATAATATGGTGCTCATATTCAATCAAAAGCATTCACTGAAATTGCTAAAAGAAAAACACATAGTTATATTGATGACATTGTGCTGAGGATAAGTTATCCAAGAACAAAATTTACAAATCAGTCACGAGCAATTGGTTTTAGTCTTACTGAAGTCTTGCTTTCATTTTTAAGGCGATTCTTTAGTTTTCTTCTTGAAACTTACCCGTCTCTGTCTTTACGAGTTAACACGATTTATATGAACATTGGACTGTAAAATTATAGTTTGAGGTGGAAATCTATTATGATTAAGAACATAGTAGACTTCTTTAATTTTTCTGAGGTGGGGGTTCAAAACTGGAAAAAGGTTATTTATGATGGTTGAAAATATTTATGAAGGGAAACCATATGGGTTTGAGGTTCTTCGTGTCGAGGGAGATTAACTTGAGAGTTGGAAAGGCACGCAATCAGTGTTGTCCTAGGTTGAGGATAGGTTGGGTTTATGCCAGTGGTTGCTATTATAATTCAATTTTTATTGACCCAAGCTAAATCACTTGAGTTTAAGGCTATTCTTCACTTGGATAAGAAGCAGTAGCATATGCAATACAAGGTATTTCCAGGTTTCTTGTTTGATTTTTGATCCCTGTTAACACTTTTTCTTTTCTTTTGGTAAAATCCCAGGTGTGCTACCTAGTTTTTTGTCCCCTAGTTTACTCTTCCATGGTTCTGTTTCCTGCATATAATTAGCCTCTGCTTGTATTTTGTTTTGGACTCTTATTCAGCCCTGTAAGCCAGACACTTTCTAATATTCTCTTTTTCAACTAATAAATTTTTGTCAATGCACCATAAAGTCTTCCCTTTTAAGTACACCAGTTTCTGTATTATTTCCTCAATCTTTTGCAGCTAAATCACATAGTATGGAAATTTAAAAGGTCCAGCATCACTATCTCCTATGTACCAGTAGGCTCAACCACTGATTTTACTTAATTGATTGCGAGAACTCATTGAGAGTATAATTTCAAAATGTTGCTGGAAACGCCAAATCTGTGCAGGATCATATTATGAAATGTCATAATCTTTCTATACGTGTATACTGGACTGCAGTTCTTTGATGTAACATTTTGTCAGAATGCACACGTAATTGTTCACTTGTTACATGCCTTGTAGTTGTGCATTTTAAATAAAGTAGCCTATTGGATTACTTGCAATGGAAAAAAAATTGCCAATACTAATGCAAATTATGTAATTATTCACCATAACCTCAATTTCTGATTCATAACTTGCTTTAATGGTTCTCTATTGTAATATTCAAAATTTTGTAAAGTGAGAAGTAGAATCTTGTTTTTGCTTTATGGGTACAGCTGGAAGAATACAATGCTATCAAGATCCTGTGATACATAATCACGAATAGTGCCTTTGTCACGATCCGGGTATCTGTACTCAAACCGTTAGCTTACGTATTATCCGCTTTGGGTGGGTCTTGTGCCTACTTACTCTTCAATACTTTCTGTCGCGTCCCTCAGAATTCGAACTCATAAAATTTCCCTTAAATAAGCTTTAAATTGAATCCTGGTACCAATTGGAGATTCTTGGTAGGTGGTAGGTTAGTGATTGATTTGTTTATTAAATAAAAAAAAAAAAAAAGAGAAGAGAAATGAAAGAGAGATAGAGAAAGATATGGGGAGCAGCAACCACGTGAGTAGTTGTTGAGAAACAAATTTTTATTATTATTTAATTAGAACTTTGAATTAAATGGCTGCCACCACGTGTACTAGGGTTGCTTTTGGGTGATTGGTTAGTTGACAAGTACGTGATCCAATATTGATAAGGCTTGGTCTCCTATTTTGTTTCAAAACAGTTTTCTCAACTTTATCTAAATACCCACTATCTCCCACACGTTTTACTATGAATATTACTGCATGTGTATGGAATGAACCGCACGAGAATTGAGACACAAAAATATATTGGTGCACGCACACATTGTTAATAGAGGCAGAAAAAGAAAGGAGAAAGGAATGTGATTTTTCTTTTGTCTTCATATTAAAGCAGTTTAAAAAGGTAGGATATGAGGTGCAGTGTTTTTATGTCTCGTTTAATTATTCTTTTTCACAACTTACATTTTTTATACTCATACTATCAACTTAAATGTGGGTCTACAGAAAATAAACCTACGCTCTGATACCAAACTGTAACGATCCAAATCTTCATAATTTAAGTCGCTACCAAATTTATTTATTAAATGGTCAAATTTATTAGAAACCACATATGATTCATAAATTTTAAATTAACAACTGGCGCATTTTTTTTTCTTGAAATATAATTCACTAGAAATAAATAAGTGCATTTCAACATGTTCAACCGCTAACTAAACATTTAAATAAAATAAGTGAACCTGGTAGGAGTCAAAAGACAAGAATACTAACAAAAGCTCCTTTTTATTAAGACATCCAAACCCATTTTACGTCTCATTATGCTTCCAGTCAAACAATTATTATTTAACATGAATTGGCAGAAAGGACATATCCCACTTTTATTATAATTATTTTTTATGTAGATTGCATTAATTACGCTTGCATGGGAACTATAAATCAAAATTTTCAAGGTTGCTTTATTCACTAAACGAAACTTGTCTAATATAAAGGCAAAGATTAGTTTTTCACAAGAATTTAAGACTCTACGGATCAAGTCATTATAAATAAATGTCTACAGCAATTAACTTAAAAGAAATAAATTACGTGTTATTTTTAGATCTTCGTCCAGCCATATAAGGCACAACTACACCATCGAACTATCACGCTCCGACACGACCCGATCTAACCTGTAACGTGTAGGGAAAGGGTGAGTACATGGAAATACTCGATAGGATATCAGATTTTAATGTTGCGATCCCGAATAATAATTTAGAAACATGTGTCAGAATATCATATCGTCGCATATCTTTAAAATTCGATAAGAGCTCACATCATATCATATTATTTCATTGTACCGGAATGGCCATATCATTCATATCATAACATTTTATATCATAACTTTAACTTTCATGAGTATAAAATTCATCAATATTTGAAAAAAATAATTAAACGAGATATAAAAACACTGAACCTCATATCCTACATTGTTAAATTGCTTTAATATGAAGACAAATGAAAAATCACGTTCTTTTCTCCTTTCTTTTTTCTGTCTCTATTGACAATGTGTGCGTGCACCAATATATTTTTGTGTCTCGATTCTCATGCGGTTCATTCCATACACATATGCAGTAATATTCATAGAAAAACGTGTGGGAGATAGTGGGTATTTAGATAAAGTTGAGGAAACTGTTTTGAAAGAAAATAGGAGACCAATCCTTATCAATATTGGATCACGTACTTGTCAACAAACCAATCACCCAAAAGCAACCCATTACCGTACACGTGGTGGCAGCCATTTAATTCAAAGTTCTAATTAAATAATAATAAAAATTTGTTTCTCAACAACTACTAAGTTGTTGCGGCTCCCCATATCTTTCTCTATATCTCTTTCTTTTCTCCCTATTTTTCTTTATATATTTAATAAACAAATCAATTACTAACCTACCACCTACCAAGAATCTTAGTATCGTACGTGTGAAACTTTCCAATTCAATACATACTCAATAAAATAATAATAAGAGTAATAACAACAACAATAATAATTTAAGGCTATATCTTTCAACCTCGATAACTTGGGCTCCGCTAGTCCAAATTAACTTTTTCTTGAGCCTAATATGCATCTTTAATTACGATCTATCCAACGAGGCCAATATTCATATACTTATTATCACTCCGTCAATATCTACCTTTTAACTCGAATTAAATTAAAATTTACTTTTTATGCACTTTAGTCCCTAAACTTTCAAAATATTAAAATATAGCATACAAGAATTAAATTCTGTTCTATGAAATTTCGGGATATTACAATCTCCCTTCCTTAATATATTTTCGTCCTCGAAAATTTACCTTGGTTAATCGAAGAGCTTTGGATATTTGGTTTTAAGCTTCTCTTCTTTCTCCCAAGTTGACTCATCAAGTCCATGATTTTGCCATTGGACCTTGACTAGGGGAACTTCCCTGTTTTTGAGTTGATGCACTTTTCTGTCCAAAATCATTGTCGAGATTTCTTCATACGACAAGTCTTTTTGTACCTCTAAAGTTTGGTAACTTACCACATAATTGGGATCATAGACATATTTTCTGATTCGAGTCTTTGCTTTCTTATTCTTATCTTGATCATCATTCTTCTTCCTTGGAGGTTCCGTGCAATTGAGGGCAATGTGTTCCGGCTTACCACACCGAAAACACATGTTCTTCCTAAGTAAACATTCACTCCTGTGGAGTTTATTACACTTAGGACATGATGTAATACTTCTACTCGTCCCACCAATACGAATTCTTGTGTTTGGCCTTTTATTTTGCTAGTTACGTCCGTTCTTGTTTTGATCACTCCACTTTCTTTTTCCCAACGACTCCTTGCTCTGCTAGGCATACTGTCCAAATGTGGTTCTCTGGTATAAAATTGCATGGGCTCTCTTCAACATCTCACGATATGAGGTGAAACGATGGGACATAATGATCATGCCGATTTCTGGGCGCAGTCCATTTTCGAACCTCCTAATCTTCTTAACTTCAGTGTCCACCAAATGTGAAGCATATCTTGAGAGCTGCTCAAACTGCCTCTCGTAATCAATAAGCGATAGGTCTCTCCGCCTGAGCTGCAGAAACTCTGATTCCTTGAAGTCTCTCAAAGCCTGTGGAAAATATTTTGCCATTACTTCATCCTTAAACTGCTCCCAAGTCAAGTTATGTTGCTGCTCTTCCGTCTTAGTGCGTGAGACGGATTCCCACCAGTGGCTAGCTGCTCTAACAAACATGAATTCTGCGCATAGTACTTTCTGTGCATCCGTTCAAGCGATGTGTCGAAAGATGCGCTCAAGACCTCTTATCCACTCCTCAACAGCCAATGGGTCGGAACCACCGTCAAAAGTCGGAGGCTTGTACCTACAAAAGTGCTCAACCACTGAGACGGCTCCCGGGACAAATGGAGGTGCATTTTGTGGCAGCGGTGCTTAGCTCTATCTGCTCAATTCTTGTACCGCTCGTAATAAATTGCGCATCAAGTTCGTGTGAGTAGGTGGTGCCATTTCCTAAAATTTAATTTGAAGTTACTAGTCACATTCAAGTACTAAGTCTAATAAGTTATACTTATTTTATCGTATGTATATCATAAATTTAACGAGAAAAATAGCCTTAAAAATTTAAAGATATGTAATTTAAAATATTTAAAATTATGCAAAATGTCTAAGTACATTTATCTTCTTACTCCTTTACATACCTTAGGGTTGTCGGAGGGTGGCCGATTAGTGATCGTTGAGTGCCAAAGATCATTCACATATTTAATAACTTTAAATTGACTTTATCTTTAAATTCATAAACCTTTAGAATAATATTAACCTTTAACAAACATTACACAAAGAAACTGGTAAACAATTAAACATTTTATTATATGTAACATTTAAAACATGTAAAGTCCAATGTTTATATATATATATATATATCATCGAATTTTTTATTTTATTTATTTCATTTCATTTTAATATATATATAAGGACATTTCTAAAAGTTATATATGTGCATGTATACATACACGTACAAAGCTAAAGGACTACTTTGCAATTTCGCAATTTAAAGGTTCCATATAATGGAGGCTGGAAAAAATTTTCACATACTATACTCATTTCATTTTTATTTATTTATTATTATTATTATTATTTTAATTGTTCATGTGAACAGTGCGGCACTGTTTACTTCTTCAAATATATATATATTTTTCCAACTTTAAATTTTTTATACTCATACTATCAACTTACATGTGGGTCTACAGGAAAATAAACCTACGCTCTGATACCAAATTGTAACGACCCAAATCTTCATAATTTAAGTCACTACCAAATTTATTAGAAACCACATATGATTCATAAATTTTAAATTAACAACTGGCATTTTTTTGTAGCGACCCGGGTCTCTGCGCGTTTTTTTGTAACGACTTAGGTCTCTGTACCTAATTGGTACCAGGATTCAACTTAAGTTTTACTTAAGGGAAATGCTATGAGTTCGAATTTTGGGGGACGCGACAGAAAGCCGTTATGGGTAAGTGGGCGCAAAGCCCATCCAAAGTGAACAGTACGTAAGTTAACGGTTTGGGTACAGAGACCTAGGTTGTTACAACCTTCAAACCTGCTCCATGAGTTGTGGATTTTTTTTGATATATCTTGATGTACTTAACTAATATTGGTAACACTGGACCTGTCCTTACCAATTTGTTGGTATCTTTGTCACAACCTATTTTTGGTTTAGTTTTCTGGTTCATTATGGTAAATACCGGTGCTACCAGCCATAGGATGCTTTGGGTCATTATGCTGAGAAGTGCGACCAATTACTCCCACCACTAAATAAAATGAAACCTATTGTAGGCTGGGGGAGTACCGCAGGAAAAAGAATGCATAGATAGTAACTTATACATACTTAGTTTTACCACTTCGACATTACAAGCAGAAATCATTAGAACTGGTTTATATATAAAATTGTCATTTTCTGAACTCTATATTTGCTTGAAGAAAACTTTCAACTGCCCCCTTTTGCCATGCATAAAATAAACAAATAATTAGATAATCACGAGATAGGTAGGAAAACATAAGTGTAGGTAGAAGAAGAGGCTAATAAAGAATTAGAATTATGGAGTTCTATTATTTGGAATGTACAATATGGCTAAAAATCAGAACTCTGGATTTTCTGTTGCATCTGGTTGAGGAAATACTGTCACATTATCTAATAGACCCACTAGTGGTTTATCTTCCCAACACCCTGAAAATAAATGAATAGTAACATTGCTTGATTGCTCATCATAAGTTTCTCTCTTTCTGTTCTCAGCCTGCAGGGGAGAATTATGCTCATCCAAACATATGTTTCTTCCATGTGCTTTTCAAGGTCATTTATATCTTATTTTGTGATGTTATTTCTATATGCAAATTTTATTACTGGATAACATTAAATTCTTCCATTTGGCAGGCTGCAGCTTTGGCATTTTACATACTTTCAGCTCTATTTTTTGATAGCTTTGTCATTATTTTTGTCGTTACCGTGCTTCTAGCTGCTCTTGATTTTTGGGTAGTCAAGAATGTGAGTGGACGCATCTTGGTAGGATTAAGATGGTGGAATGAAATAAACGAAGAGGGTGAGAGTGTGTGGAAATTTGAATGTCTTGATCAAGAGGTGGGTAATCATGTCTCCCACTACCTTAATTTGCATATTTAATTTTGGTGATGCCTTCAATATATTTGAATGTTGTAGATATTTTCAGTCTCTACATCATGAATTCAGATGTTGCTAATTTGACTTGTTCTGAATCTTCTGATGTATATTTTACCCAATTTCCTGCTCTCCCCTGTTCAGTCATTGGCTCGGATTAATAAGAAGGATTCGTGGCTGTTCTGGTGGACCTTATACCTTACTGTAAGTATAGATCTGTATGAAAGCATATCATAGGACCCCATAATTAATTCGTAGAAATTTTAAAAAATGTTATGCCAATGCACGTTATAGATGTGCAATTTCTCTGGAAAGATGCTTGCCTGATAGTCATCTTTGTCAACTAGAGAAGTAGCTTCTATGACTAGCATATGGCTATCTCAGATTTGGTTAAAGCATTTCTTAGATTTGGACCCTACGTTATCATATCTTGTGGTTTCAATACAGATAGACTAAACCCAGTTGTTTCTGTAAAGATGAATTTGAGAAATGTTTTATATATTCTCTATCATAGCTAAATGATCTTGCTTGTGCTTGTAGGCTGTATTGTGGCTCTTTCTTGGGATATTTTCCCTCATAAGGTTTCAAGCTGACTATCTTCTTGTTGTTGGTGTTTGTTTGACCCTCAGCATTGCAAATATTGTTGGCTTTACTAAATGCCGAAAAGGTATGTAGACTTAATGATCTAAACCTTTAAATTTCATCAGTTTTTGACATGTTTCTTCCAGACATAATTTTTCATATACTTGTGACCATTTGAGGAGTTATATAGCGATGGCTGCAAATTATGGCTTGTCAGTTCCATCAATAGCACCCAATCACATTTTGACACCCACTGCTGCTACTGCATATTTGGTCCATTTATCTTTCTATTCATGCAAGAAGGGATTCCTGGGTAGGTTTCAAACCTGTAAATACATTTAAGAGAATTTTTGGGTTTACTATAATGAAGAGGAGTGATGGGCCCTATGAAATGTGAGTATTATTGTATTAAGTGGTTAGTAAATTAATGGTTGACTTTGACTTCAAATTATAAGGAGATCATACGAGCATGCGCGCGCACGCGTATATATGCGCATGCGTGTTTATATATTCTTGACTTACTCTAGTGAGGAGTAAGTTAGCAAGTTACTGATTTTGCCTGACATATTTTGCCTCTGGTTAAACTTATCTTAGTACCTTACAGAGCATCGTTGAGGGAGTTAATATAGTAAGAAAGGAATCTTTCTATATCCTACTAGGCATCTGCACTCTTCATTGGACATCTATCTCTCGTCAGGGGTTAAGTTTTCTAATAATCAACCTGTGATATCGATCATTTTTTTCTCTGTGATATCGATCATTTTTTTCTGTTGTGGTTCAAGTTAAGTCTAGGCTATGAAACCCAACATCTTGGCTGACCAAACCCCAGTTGGCCAGCCTAGCACCGGTAACATTTTCATCAATCTATCTGCTCTCTCACCTGCCACAGAATCACCATATGCATTGTGAATAAATAGTAAAATACTCAACGTCATTTTTTCTTATCTATGAATTAATGAGAGGTGTAGAACTTTAATATTAGTTAAGATTGGAGCTAACAAATTGTTATTGATTCACACGGCATGGCGCCCACCATAACATTTGTAATCTTGTGATGGAATCAAGCCATTTAGTAGGCAGATTGCAGATTTCACGGCACAATCTGTGTACTTGTTTTTCTCTTTTCTTCCATTACAGTCGTCTTTCTATCTTCATTGTATTGCACAAGAACGCATTGGCACAAAAGTCGAACTCTTTCTGTGGAAAGATGCCAAGTCTCTCTTCTAGTGGAAAATTTGAGTAAATCGATGAATGCAAAATGTGTTCATACAAAATTTTTGGTGACGCTCTAACTACTAGTGGGAATTAAGAATTTTTCCAAGTTCCTGAGCTTTATTTATTTATCATGCCATTATATTACACCTCAGCCTCGTGGCAATTTTGTCATTGAAAAATGTGTACGTGGAGTAAGTTTACAGACTCCTAGATATATATTTATGTGTGTATATGTATCTCCTTGAGCACTAATATTTTTCATTCCGTTGATTCCAGATGCTAAGAAACAGCTTCAAGCATTTGCCACCCAGACCCTTGCTTCTAGGTTCTCTTCTACCATACAATCAGCATTTACTTGAATGTGTGTACAGATAGCCGGAGGAAGACGAAAACTGCATTGAGAGTCTTTGAGAAATGCTACTTTCATTTAGATCATTATAAGTGGTGATTTGGAGTTTTCTTTTGCAATTTTGTAGAGATATAAAAGCATTCGGCAGATGGTTTTCAGTAAGTGCAATTCCTAGAGTGTGTTTGATTGGTATGAAAAATATTACTTAGAAAAAAAATTATTTTCCTTCTTTTGAGGAAAACAAAAATCATCTCCACCCAAGGAAAATATTTTCCTTCTTTTGAGGAAAACAAAAACCATCTCCACCCAAGAAGGAAAATATTTTCCTTAAAAATAAGGAAAATTAGGTATATTTTCAAAAGTTGGAAGTTTTTCATGAAAAAAAATAGCTATCAAACACCTTAAGTAGAAATTTAGGTGGAAAACTAATATTTTTCATAAAACATAAATGTAATCAAACACACCCTTAGATAATACTCATAAGCATTTGGTTCTTTTTAATTGCTTTGCCAACATTTTGCTTTAAACTATTAAGCAATTGATTTTGTTTGACCCTATCCGAAAATTCACATCGAATCATTTGAGGGTTCACCATGACTTGGTCAAACTAGCCTTTTTATCTGAGACTAAATAGGTTAGTACATGTGGTCAATTCAAGACTCCATATCGATATTTTGACCACCATGAGACATCATTGAATACATCATTATGATATGACTAAAAAAAGTGTTCTCCTTGAGTGGCAGCACCATCCACTGTGGTCAATCAAGAAAAAAGTTATGATGGTCTTAAGGTATCACGATGATTCATTGCAATTGAACCCTCCATCCAATCAAATCTCTTCAAAATAGGTGGTGGCATACGAATCTAAATCAGACGGTGTAACTTAACATGACTAAGACGATAAAACTCAAGTCCAATAGATGAATAGGGACATCAAAATAAGCTAGACCATCCAGGTCGGAGCATTCCAGCCCTCTAAAAGCTCAACACTTGGCCCCCTTAATTAGACCGTGCCAAGATACCTAAAAAAGAATCTTGCGAGCCAAGAAAGCTCTTACATCTCTAGGTGCTTCTATTGTTGAAGATACCAATGAAGTAACTGCTATTCGAAAACAAGGCTTCCAAGGGAGCCCATTCTGAAGTGTCCTCGTGATAAGACAACTCTTTGTATGTACTCAAAAAAACAATTAAACTACTTGTATAAAGTAGTTTGACAAAAATAGCTGACAAAGTGTGTGTTGACAAGATCAAGACCAATGGATTTTGTTGCTTTCAAAAATTGTTTTTGAATTGAGTGGTCTTGATTTTGCCAACAAACACTTTGTCAACCTTTTTTGTAAATCTACTTTGTAAGCATAGCATCACTCACTAAAAAATGTCACCTTAGCCACCATTATGGTGATCTTGGATTAAGCAAGCCAACAATATCAATATTTTCTATTTGTCAATCTCCAATTTATACACCAAGCCAGGTAAAAGGTATTAACATCGAAAAAGAACAAAGAAAAGTGCTGGTATTATAGCATAAACAGGGAACAGATATTACAGGAGTCCATACAAATCTACTTCACGATAATGGCGATCTCTATGAGAAGCAAAATTAAGCACAGAAAGCAGATTGCTCTAGTAAAGCAAGATGAAAATGACACAAAGCCCTCAGAACGGGAAAGAATTTCCACTTCAAACAAGGATTTGGCTATCAAAATCACTGGAGAAAATGCCTTGCTTAGGCCTGCATTAGGGGGAAAAAATAGATCATAAAGGCTAGCAATCAGCTTAATAAGAACTAAGCTAACGGAATAAGCTCTTTCAGGGAAATCCGACTGGCCTACCTTGTTAGCAATGTTGTTGGAAAGCCAGTCTAGACCCTCATAAAGCCCCTCCCCTGAAGTTGCACGCGTGCTCTGGATATAACAGTGAGAAAGGGTAGCCTTCGGGCCTCAGTAGTTGAAAATTGAAATAAACCATGTGGATGTATATGCAGATCAAGTTGCCATAAACTTCTCGTATTTTTTAAATAGTTATGAGAGAGAGAGACCAATGCCATTGACGGAGGGAGTGAAGTCCAAGCTTGTCAGTAATCTCAGCAGCACTCATATCATTTGGAAGATCTTGTTTGTTTGCAAATACAAGCAGCACTACATCCCTTAGTTCATCCTATACAGGCATTAGTTCAATATCAGAGTCAAAATTCAGGCAAGAAAAAACCTACAATACGAGTCTCGCATCAATTAACCAAACGGGCTTTATAGCCTCTGCTAATACTGATACCTCAGTCAAGCAACTGAGCAAGTCATTAAGAAAGAACCGAATGCATAAGCAATTCTTAAAAGAACCGAGTTGCATAAGCAATTCTTACATTTTCTAGAACCATCTCCAAGTTCTTGTCTTATATTTATCACAGCCTAACTTCAATGTACTAAATACCAAAAGAGGCACATTGAATAGATTAGTTTGATTACCTCATCCAACAGCCTATGCAGCTCGTCCCTAGCCTCGACTACACGATCTTGATCATCACTATCAACCACAAAGATGAATCCTCGAGTGTTTCGAATGTAATGTCTCCACAATGGTTGAATCTGCATTAATCGAGTTTAGAGTAAACTCAGACATAATATTCAAATTTTAAAACACTGGACTTTTAGTTAAACAAATGACAGCACTGTCAGCACATATGCAACAATAGAAAAATATGATTTCAGAAATTATTTATGCATATGCATGCCCCAAGCACCATCTAAAATAATCATTAAAATCACGGATCGATCCATGTAACTCTGGTCTATCCTTTTATTTCTAAAATCGAATGTGGGGCTAGGTTCAGGGCAATATTCAAGCATCAATGTATCTTTGTTCTATCCTTTTACTTCTAAAATCGAATGTGGGGGCTAGGTTCAGGCCCTCAGGGCAATATTTAAGTATCAATGTAACTCTGTTCTATCCTTTTACTTCTAAAATCGAATGTGGGGGTAGGTTCAGGGCAATATTCAAGTATCAGCTTACAGTACAATGCCCAACACTTGGCATCTATTGTATGCACCCCAAAAGGATTCTATAATGGGAGGACAGTAATAATTGTGTTTGCGAAACAATAAGGGGAGGAATAGTAGTAGCCATTTACATAAGCAGGTGACACGTTACTTTTGATTGTGTAATAACCATAAGCTGATTGAGCAACATTTGAATAGACTCAAAAACAGTTACGGGCTCACCAAGTGGTCAAAATCATCTATTATTGTTATTTCTCCACAAGATTCTTAATTATATTCATCTTAACAATTACTTGCTCAGTCGCATCGTTGTCACTTCAATTGCAAAAGTGAAGGTCAAACTGTCTTATTATTATAACAATGTTTAATGTGATAAAACAGTCAAATGGTACAATTTTTAACATAGTTAACATTTTTGGGAAAATTAGTGCTGAAAAGGGAGTGGTTTTGACGTCCATATTGGCGGTTTCTGTCGCATCCACCCAAACATCACATTTTTCGAAAGTTAAATGATAAAATTAAGTAAATTGCAATATCATTTCAAGAAAAGTAAATCTGACCATTCAATGATGGTAGTGTAGCTCTCCCCATTCTGATTCTCCAAAAGATAAGGGTATGGGATACTTGTCACATCCTCTTTAAGTCAAAAGAGGATTATTTTTAGGATTATTTTATATGTACAAAATCAATGACAAACTTGACAAGTGGTGGCCCCCTGTTGGTGGAGTGGTGGTGGGGCCAGCCGCCCCACTAACAGGGAGCTGCCACTTGTCAAGTTTGTCAAACTTTTAGTAATTGATTTTGTACTTGTAGACTAATCCTTATTTTTATATCATTTTTCTTATTTTGGTATTGTGTTTTTCTAATGTGTGCTTCAAATTTTTAGATTTGAAATGAAATTCAAAAGAAGTATCACAGGTTGCAATTTAATTAGTTCAGATTTACAGTTAAATATACAACATATGTATACATATATATCCCTGAAAAATATATCTAAAATTATGAGTACAGAAATTTCTATTGTAATTTTAAATTTAGATGATGTATCCATGTATCCACTATCCATGTCTAAATTTTAGATTTCTTTAACCATATCCTCATATCATAGATTTAGGGAAAAATAGAAAATAAAATAAAATGAGAGAGAGAGAGAGAGATCCGACTCTTGCACTGGAGTCCAAGCAACACAGGTGTAGCTATGATTTTGGAAGGACTAGGACTTCTTAGTTAGTACCGAGGCAACTTGAACAAATGTTACAGATATTAAACATTATATGCTTGTTTTTTTTCAGAAAATGCCACAGATTAAGCACATTCCCCAGTATAACAAAACGGTCTAGATGAAGGCAAGAAATATTAACTCAGATGGCATAATAGAAAATAAGAAAGAACGTTCTTGAATGCCATTGTCCAGGGCTATTGCTTGATACTTAACTAACTTTTACCACTGAACCACAACTATAATATAAACTGGCTGCAGTGGAAGAAGTCAGTTGCAAGCCAAGCAGTTTCATTGAATCAGCAAGCACAGGCTACAGAAGTCCGGAGCTTCTATGATCCTCCTATACACATTTAATACATTATCTCCAGTGCACGTGTATCTTTGATGAGTGACTTGAACCTAGGGCTTCAAGCATTTAATGTGATCGTAATCCATTATTCTTATCTATTTGCCTTTATTTCTGTTTTGAAAGCACACACATAACAATGCCCATTTTCCACAATGTTATTGCATTCCAGTTTATCTGAAATATACCAAGCCATTTTACAGATTACTACATGTAATCGTAATCTTTAAGCATCAAGGTTCATGGAAAACATACAAGAATTACAAAAAACAAAAAAAGTGTTAAAAGCCTTAAAGATTCAGATGAAAGCACAAACAATAATATAACAATATAAGATAAGATAGTCCAGTAGAAACTGATTTTCTGAGAGTTTCCATGAAGTAATAAATAAATATTGTTATTCTATCAGGTCTAACATAGTTGGCCCATTCCCGTTGAAAATATGTTGTTCAAAATCAATAAACACGTGTGTGGAATGGAATGAACAAAATTGGAACATAAATCTAAAACCGGAGGCCCAAGATGAATGCCATGCGACCGCATAGCAATATGGCCATGCGGTTGCATGGCCACAACCCGAAACTGGAGAGGCCGGTTTGAAGAGGTCGCATGGTACAACGAATTAGCCGTTG